CCCCCCCCCCGGGGGGAAAAAAAAAAAGGGGGGGGGGGGGGGGGGTTTTTGGAACAAATTGTTTTTTTTTCCCGCCCCTTTTAAGATTTTGGAAGGGGGGAAAACGGGTTCAACTGGGGGCCCCCCGGGGGGGGGGGTTTCTAGGCCCTCCTCCCCCCCCCCCGGGGGGAACCCCCAAAGGGGGGGGGGGGGGGGGGGGGGGGGGCCAATTTTGGGGGGTTTTCGTTTTGGGGTGGGGGGAAAAGGTTAAGGGCTTCCCAGGGGTTTTAAAACCCAAAGGGTTTTTTTGGGAAATTTTGGGGGCCCCTTTTTTTTTTTCCCCCCCCCCCCCCCGGTTTGTAAAAGGGTTTTTCCCCCCCTTAGGTCCCTGCATTGGCGTTGAGTATCGGCACTATCATGCGCTGAAATTGAGTGCCCCCCCCCCCCCCCCCGGCCCTTTTCGTCGGCGTCATCCCGTTGCCATGGGGCGTTTTCCCCAACAGGATGCGGAGCTGAGCCGGACGAAAGGCGGGGCGGCGATGGACATGGAGCTGCTTGACATGGACATGGAGGACAGCATCGCCGACGCAACAGGTGAGAGAGGGTCGTCGGATTTGCAACGGCGGCTGGACAAACGGACAAACAGGGTAGATGGTGACGGCGCTCCGTCACCGTCACCATTGGTTGGTTTGTCTCGGGGGAAGCGTGGTGTTGGTCTGAGCGCCCGGGGTGTAGCCCAAATTCAACTCCTCCGGCCCCGTTCTGCGTAGCGTAGCTCTTCTTCGATGTTAATTCATATCCCCAGCTGCCCGTGGGGGGGGTGGCCACCCTTCGGTTATGCATCTGTTGTCCGTGTGGGTGTGTGTGTGTGTTTACTCTCTGACGGTTAACGCCGTGTAGCACGGCAGGGCTTGCGTGCAGGTTCTCAGATGAAAATCCAACCGTGACTGATGCGCGAGAAAAAACGAGTCCCCGTCCCCCCCCCTGCACGCCCCCCGACCCCTTTTTGCCGATGCAGCCGATGAGAACGACGGGGTCGATATGTCCGACAAGGAGGTTTCGAGGAGCGGAGGCGTGCTCGGGTGTAACGGGTCTCGCAGCCGCCGGAAACAGTTGCAGTTTGTCGAGGTACGCAAGGGATCGGATCGGTCTTGTGTCGTGCTCCTGCTGTGTCTTGGTGCGAACGACCATCTCTGCTCTTGGGGGATGTGTTTCAGATTCTCATCCCTGTGGTGCCCTGATCAATCTTTCTTTCATCACCTCCGTTTTTTTTTTTTTGTGTGTGTGTGTGTCGGTTTCTTTTAATCTTTTCGACCGTCAAGTCGTTGCCGTGTTGTATTTAGTGGTATGCCAGAAGTATTAGTTTTGTAGAAGCTGATACGCAATTTGTGTTGCGGGAAAAAGCATCGAAAAAGGCCCCGACGAGCGAAGGGGTAGTGCGGTGAGAACAACGAAGTCTTGCTGCATGGATGCCGTTTACTTGTCCACCCGCTTTCTCCCTTCTGTCTTCTTATCGTAGCACTATGCGTATTTTTCTCTGTGATTTCTTTGTCCCCCCCTCCACCCACCGATGTGTCGTTGGGTTGCTAGAGGATGGGAGCACCGTCGGTTGCATATGGTATCCCACACACACCCCGGACCGATTGTAAGAAGCTCGATTCCTCGTTGTAGCAATAAACAGCGGTGTCACCGGAATGGCGGCGCTGGAACTCTCTCGCCGAGAGCTTTCCGAAAACGTATCGTTTGGTTGTTCGGCATCCTTTTTTTATCGTGGAGCAATCGAGCTTCGAAAAATATCGGTCCGTGGGGTGTGTGGTATATTACGTGTGCAACCTTTTGTGTAGATGCTACGGAAATGGCGGCATGGGGAGACTTTGCTGCATCGTCGTCTGCAATGTATGTGCTCTTCTTCGTCTATTTACTTTGTTTTCTGACTACTGGCGGTTACGGTCTTGGTGGAACGTAATGTGTGCTTCTTCCTCGTTCGTCTGTTAATTTTGTTTCCGACTTGTTGTGGTTTTCTTGGGGGATGATTGGTTGGTTGGGGGACCGTGGGGGGAGCGCAGAGCCTCGAGAAGGCCAAGACAGCGATGGAGAGGGACCTCGCAGCGCGGGCTCAAGAGGACCGGCTCGCCTCGGAGATCAAGGAGAAGTGGCAGCAAAAAATGCAGGTGGGAGGGGAGGGTGGTGCCGCCGTGCACAACACATGAGGGTTTTACGTGTGTTCATGATGCACGTACGCTTGCTGTGTGACACCCCCGGCTGGTGCGTAAAACACTGATGTGGCGAAAGGTGTATTGTAGTAGACTGGCACCCATGTCACACTGATGCGCTGGGATTGGCGTCTTTTCATTGGGCAGCCGGTTGGCGCGATCGATGGATGCTAATATTAAAAAACACAACTGCGCGCGCGCGCACAGGGCATCGCGCGCGACATTCTCCGGAAGTGGTGGGCCGTCGGCGGACCAGGCGGCGGCAGCGTTGGCGATGACAAGAATACAGTTAGCTGGAAAGAGCTTCTGACGGAAGATGTGGTGATGATGGCGCCGGTAGAGGAAGGGGGTGAGTTGTTGTCGTCGTTGTTGACAGTTTTTCTCTCTTACTGAGTGAGTTGTTGACAGCTTTCTCTTCTTATAAGCAGGCGGCAGAATGATGCCCCTTCGCTTCCTTTCTACCCCCACCCACCCTCTTTGCTGTGCTTGTTCTCGGGATAACAACGAGTGTCTGTCGACCATTGTAGTACCCCCCCCCCCCCTACACGGTGCTTACAACTGTCTCTGGAAGTGACAGCACCAGAAAACAAATTAAGTCATGCGCAGCTGTCATTCGTATGCAAGGAAGTAAGCACAAGATGCCGAACACCCTTAGCAGGATGCAGCTCACCCTTCATGCGACTCGCCCAATAACTCACGGCGCTTCCCGCTTGGTGATGTGAGAGCCTGGTCCGGTGAAAACCCGGCGTGCTCCCTCCCGGCTTTGTAGGGATGCGAGGTCAATGGTCTAACGACTACGGCATGCACCACTATGAATACACCCCCCCCCCC